TAGTTAATGATATGCATGCTGAAGTATTTAGGAGGAAGTGTATTGTTTGTCTGCAACTTACTTCAAAATGTACTAAAAGGGACTTCCCTGGTGGCGTAGTGGTTAAGAATCCGCCTGCCAATGCAGGGGACATGGGTTCGAGCCCTGGTCTGGGAAGATCCCACATGCCATGGAGCAACTAAGCCTGTGTGCCACAACTACTAGGCCTGTGCTCTAAGGCCCACGAGCCACAACTACTGAAGCCCACGCACCACAACTACTGAAGCCCGCCCGCCTAGAGCCCGTGCTCCGCAACAAGAGAAGCCACTGCAATGAGAAGCCTGTGCACCGCAAAGAGTAACCCCCGCTTGCCGCAACTAGAGAAAGCCCGCGCACAGCAACGAAGACCCAACGCAACCAAATATAAATAAATAAAATAAATAAAATTTTTAAAAGATGTACTTGGGCTTCCCTGGTGGCGCAGTGGTTGAGATTCCGCCTGCCGATGCAGGGGACACGGGTTCGTGCCCCGGTCCGGGAAGATCCCACATGTCGCGGAGTGGCTGGGCCCGTGAGCCATGGTAGCTGAGCCTGCGCGTCCGTAGCCTGTGCTCCGCAACGGGAGAGGCCACAACAGTGAGAGGCCCGCGTACTGCAAAAAAAAAAAAAAAAAAAAAAAAGTACTAAAAATAGGAGGACTTACTGGATGGAGAGAGGAATAGATATATGTATAGAAATGTAATAAAGCAAGTAGAATCAAATGTTAACTGTAGAATCTAGTTGGTAGGCATATGGGTGTGTCATGTAAAATTCTTTCACCTGTGTTGAATGAAAAATTTTTGTAATAAAATGTTGGGGACTTTTTTAAAAAGGTGAATCAATGTAAGTAAAAGTATTAAATATCATTGCTTTATGAACGTGACAAAAATTTTGAGAGCGGTACTGGAATGACTGAAGTGGAGAAGCAGAACATTACTTCGTTGAAACTGCACCGCAACTTTGAGGTCGGTTAGGTACTAACAAAATCATTGTTTTAGTAATGGGGGAACTAAGGCACAGAAAGGTTAACTGACCTGCAATGTGGCATATGCCAGGGTATTAACCCAGGTATGTTTTGACTCCAGCACACACTATGCTTCACTGTTTGTGCAAAAAATCTTTATTTCCCTGGGTTAATATATTGCTTTGTATGTTTCTCCATTATGGCCTTTGCTACACTATCGTGATGTCAGGTGTTTAGGCATCTGCCTCCTCCTTTATACCATAAAGGGGTATAAAGGCCAGGGGAAATTTTCCATCTTTGTAGCCTCCATACTTAGCATTGTTCTTAGTAGAGTGCTAACTAGCACATAATAATCTTTCCCTTAGGTTGCTGAATGGATGCAGGAAAGAAGAAAGGAATGCTAACTTGGATGATGCTTTCTGGCTTAACCTATCTCAACAGCATACTCTTCCAACACTTTCTGCAGGATTCATGCCTAACCAGACCATTTGATCAGGGCCTATAGTTGTTAACCTGACTTAACAGCTGTGGGGCTATTTATGGTTACCTGAGTGTAGGGCTGGCTTGTACAAGCTCCAAAGCAGCAGAATTTGGGACAACCATCTCTGGAGTAGCTGAGGAGTAGCAAAGACCTGACTCTACCTTGGGAAGAGCATATATCAGTTTACAGACTATGGCTATAGTACAATTTGTCCAGAGTCTGACATCCACTGAATGGACAAATGAATGAATAAATGATGATGAAAGGCAGCACAGATCAGTCATGGCAATTAATTCCTTGATTTGCCTCTCATAATGCCCCTCTCCTCATTGGGAAAACAGCTTTGTATTACAGTGTTTGTAAATAACCTTTAGGTTTCCTGGCTTAAGACAAGACTATTTCATTTATTTATTTATCTTTGAAAACTAACTTTATTCTAAAGCAGTAGTTTTCAAACTCTAGTGTGCACATGAATCACATGAAGAACTTTCTAGAATCTGAGAATCTCACCCCTGGAAAGTCTATTCAGTGGTTCAAGGGTAGGGTCCAGGAACATGTCATGTTTAAGAAGACCTTCAAGGTATTCTATTATAGATAGTCCCCAGGTCACACTTTGAGAAACATTAGTGAAAAGAAATTGGTTCATATAGTTTCTGCAATTTCAGTTATCTCTGCCTCAAAAATAGCCCTGTCTTGTTTTCAAGTACTTTCCACCACAAAACTATGGCACCACTGACTTTTAGAACCATCTCCTTCCTCCTAACCTTTAGTGTCAATCAGCCCTAGAAGAGAAGTTACTATGGATATTGGTAACTTTGTGGATAGAATTGTTATCATTTATTGAGCATCTACTATCTACCAGAGACTATGTGAAATGCTTCACAAATGTAATTGCACCTAATTCTTACAACAACTTTGCAGGGTAGGTGGTATTGCTCTTATTTTAAGGATGAGGAAAAACTCTCAGAGAGGTTATGTAACTTGTCCAAGGTCATGTAACATAGCTGACAGACTTGTGATTCAAATGCAAGTCAAAGCCATTGCTTTTTCAAACATATAACCCCCATTATTATTGTATGAAATTATTAATATTAATTATTATTATTATTTCTATGCAGTCATACCCTAAGCAAAATACTTTGGTCAATGGTGACTTCAGAACACAGGGCCTTTAAGGCTCATCCATCCATTCATGTATTCATTTAACAATAATTAAGCAACTACTATGTGCCAGAAACTGTGCCAAGTACAAGGGACACAGTGCTAACTACTCAACATCTCTCAAATCTGTCCACCTCACCATGACATTCACCACCATCCCTTGTACAGTGCTACAATATAATTCACCTAATTAATCTACAAATTTAATATATCTCTCAATAATTACATAAAAAACACTGTTTCTGGAACTGGACAAGCTGACCTGAAAGTTCATTTGGAAAAATAAAATTGTAAACAGAACCAGGAAACTCCAGAAAAAGAAGAGTAGTGAGGGAGGAGTAGGCCTATGTCATTAAAATAAAGCTATTAGGGCAGTTTGATAAGACCACATGAATAGATGGATTAATGGAATGGAATAGAGAATCCAGAAACAGACTCAGATACAAATGGGAATAGAGTATATGTATATATGTATGTATGTCACACCAGTAGGGAAAAGATTATTCTGTAGAAGTGTTGAGGTGAATGTGTATCAACTAGAAAGACCAAAAAAAAAAAAAAAAAAAAAAAAAAAAAAATTCCAAATGGATCAAAGACTTAAATATGTAATATAAAATTATAAAGGGACATAAAGGAAACATGGGATAAATGAACGCTGATTGAGGAGGGTATAAGGATGGTGGGAGGCTTTTACTGCATTGACTTTTTTTTGGCCTCACCACACAGCAGCAGGATCTTAGTTTCCTGATCGGGTATCAAACCAAGGACCCCTGCAGTGGAAGCATGGATTCTTAACCACTGGACTGCCAGGGAACTCCCTACTGTGTTGACTTTTGTATCTTTTAAAACATATTTACAATGTATTACCCACTAAAAAATGTTTTGTTGTTGTTGTTGTTAAGAGTGTTTGGCTAGGGAAATAAAAGTTTAGCTCTAGCATAGTGAGTGAGAGGTAGGGAGCAGGTGGTGAATGTCATGGTGAGGTGGACAGATTTGAGAGATGTTGAGTAGTTAGAATCTTGTTGATTGGATGTTGGAGATGAGGGAGAGATCTAAGAATGACGTCCGGATGGAGAAGTGGTGGTAGTAGGGGATTGGGGGAGTAAGTATAGGTGAGATAACGCATTTAGTTTAAGTGACTTCCAGATGTCCAGTTGGAAATGACTAATAGCCAGGCTTAAAACCCTGGAGCTTGAAAGAGGGCTCTGACTGGAGATAATGAATTTGGGATTCATTAGCATATAGATGGTAACTGAAACCCTGTGAGTAGATGAGATCACCCAAGGAGAGCACCTACTGTGAAAGGACCTAAGACAGAACGGATGAGGAAGAAAAAAAGAAAATGTTCCCTGGGAAGGATCTGGAGAAGGAAAATTTGGAGAGTGATGGGAAGAAGTCAAGTGAAAAGTGTTTCGATAAGGAGAGAGTGGTCCTCAATACCAAAGGCTAGGGGTAGTCCAGATGAGGATGAAATGTGTTATTTGATTTAAATACAGGGGTATTACTGAAGATCACAGGAAGAATAGTTGAGCGGAGGGTTTAGGTTAAGCAGAAGATGAAGCGGAAGAATCTTGTCTCCGAAGTGCAAGCATCTTGTCTCCGAAGTGGAGACAACTTGTTTCAAGTTCGCTAAAGACGGAGAGGAGAGTGCAGCAGCTGGGGGAAAGACATGAGCTTTTTTCTTTTTTAAGGATCAACTGAGCGTATCTAAAATGATGATGACAAAGAACCAATACTTAGGGAGATAGAGGAGAGAGGGAGGAATTGAGTAATACCAGATGCGAGGGGTGGGATCCGAGCAGATGAACCGCCGTGCCTTAGATTAGGAGGGATGCTTCTTGCATCGTAAACGAAGGGAAAGGAAAGGGGAAAGCTGGCAGATTCTAAAGGTTTGGTGCAGGGAAGCTGATGGAATTTCGGTTCGATGTTTTCTATTTAACTCCGTAAAATACGCCTGGAGTAAGGGGGTTGGCTGTGAGTCGAGGTTTGAGGAGACTGCGGATTTGAAAAGCCGTTTAGAAATTCCGGGCGGCCCAGGCTGGTCCACGCTGGGGCTTCGCTAGGGAGGCCCCCAGTGGAGCTCCGAGGGGGACGCCGCGGTGCATCGCCATGGCAACCGAACCGCCGGGCTAGGCCCAGGACCAATTGTAACTCGAAACAGCCGTAGCGTTTTAACTCACTACTCCAGAAATCAGGGGAGGAGGCAACCCGAGGCGACCAAAGTGAAACCACAGATCCCGCGATATCACGTCCGCAACCTGCGAAACTGCACGTGACGCTACCGCCACGCAGCGCGACAGCGAGTATTGAACGTCATGGTACCGCGACGCAGTCGCTCTAATATAACGCTCTCCCGGAAGTGGTCTTATGGATCTGGCAGTGAAAGTGGTAGCCAGTTGTCCTCGGTATCAGATCTCCGGAGGTCGTAGCTGAGCTCTTTTTCTGCGTTTCGCCTCGATCCTTCCTAAGTCTTCCAGGTCCGCGTAGTGAGGAAGCGTCTCCACCATCATGGGGGGCGGAGACCTGGTAAGTGAGGGAGCCCAGGGCTGGGGGAAGACTGAGGCCGGAGACCGACTGAGGCTGGGGACGGAAATTGGTGGGGGTGGCAGTGGGTATTCTTGACGCTGCCGTTGGGGACAGGGAGCTCTAGCCCTGGACAGGGGACGGATAACTAAGGCCATGAGGGACCGGGCGGAGACTTGGGAAGATATGTGAGGTGGGTCGCCAAGGAGGGGAGGTGGTGTTTGTTGACAGGGAGCGCTTCTGCCTGGAAATTCTGGGAAGCCTCGGGAGCGGTTGGAACCGTGGCTAGGAAAGGAGGCAGGTATGGAGGACGTGTCACTTTGTTTTGTATATCTTGTCTTGGGATACATCTCCTTCCTCAGCTAGGAGTTCAGTCATGTCCTGGGCTGTAGTAGGGGTGATCTGTGCCCCCGTTCTCCTCGTCCCTGAGCCATGTCCTGGGGTCACGGAAGATCTTTCTCACGTTCACCTTTCTGACTTCCACTCCTTCTTCAGTGCTGCATTCTGATCTGTAGTGGCAGAGCTTTCTTCTGAATTCATAGCACTTAATGTAAGTTATGTGGCTATTTCTCTTAAACTGTATAGTTCATTTGTAGGGGGCTAAGCCTCCGAATTGGGCAAATGTACCCATAAGCGCATGGTGCAAGATCAGAAAAATGCTAATCTCCTGAAAGTGTAGCTAATTGAATCAGCAAATAGATTCGTTTAGCCACCTGGCCAGTAGCTATATTAGAGTTTGTCAGGTGTTATCAGTTAGAATGAGTTCCAAGATACCATCAAGGTTCTTCTGACTTAGTGTCTTCAAGTAGCTGTATTTAGGGATAGGAAAGCTCTAATCCAGAGTTTCTCAACCTCAGTGCTATTGACATTTTGGGCTGGAGTTAATTCTTTGTTGTGTGTGTGGTCCTGTGCATGTAGCAGCATCCCTGGCCTCTAGCCAGTAGCACCTTTCTCCTTCAGTTGTGACAACCAAAACTGTCTACAGACTACCAAATTTTCCCTGGGAGGCAAAATCACCCATATTGAAGGCGAGAGACGAGGACCATTAGGACAAGGTGGAGGGTTGGGGAGGAAGGGAGTAAGGACTGAACAACCTAATGAGGGGAAAGGGAGTACAAGAAGAGAGAGAGAAAAGGAAGCCCTCGTTAAAAAAAAAAAAAATTATTTTGGCCACACTGAGCAGGATGTAGGATCTTAGTTCCCTGACCAGGCATTGAACCCTGCCCCCTACAGTGGGAGCACAGAGTCCTAACCACTGGCCCACCAGGCAATTCCCTCATTTAGGTTTCTTAACTGGTCTCCTGGTTTTCAGTCCTGATCCTCTCCAATCCATTCTTTACATGCTAGGCTGGTCATGCCTCCCACCTGCATATGAATGTTTAGTGTTTTCTGCTGTCAACAGGATAAAATCCAGTCCCTGAACATGGCTTATAAGGCCCTCAATCTGTTGCTTTCATAGTTGGCTTCATCTTGAGCCCCTTCCCATCAGCTTGCTCTCCTATCTCCAGCCATGTTGAATTATTTGTTCTTTCTCACCACTGGGCCTGCAGTTGTGTGTGCTGTTACCTCTGTGTGGAAATCTACCCCACTCCTTCCCGCTTCCTACATCACTGGGCTAATTTATAATTATCCATAGATGTCACTTCCTCCAGGAATCCCTGGTTGGGAAGCTGAACCAAAGCAGCGGCTCATGGGGAGGAGGGAGAGGAGAAGCATTCCTTGAGGGTGAGGAGGAAGACCAGAACCAGGGGGAGATTCTTGGGAAGGAAGGTTGAAAGAGGTACTGACTAGGTGGGGTTGTAAACCATGCAAGTTTAAGGCACGTTCAGTGGACTCAAGGAGAAGAAGGTTGTGTTCATAAGAATGAACATCCAGTGCCAAAGGCGCTTGAATTCTTTTGCCTTTCAGAGTCTATACTTTCCTGCTTCTCTACCCCATTGCTCCTGTATTGTCATCACCAACCCTCACTTCGGGCATGGCCAGTGGAAGTCAGACTCACACATTTCAGGATAGAAGTATTTGAAGGGAATCTCGGAGGGGTCTGTTTTATCCTGAAGCTTTATGTACTTGAACAACCTCTCTTCTGCCCCACCATGTGTGAGATTTTTGGGTGCCAACCTTGCCATTGTTAAACATGTCTTGCCCTTACATGCCTGCCTTGGCATGAATATAGGGGTGGGAAAGGGAGGGCCAGTTATACTCACCACCCACCCACTGCCCGCATTGTTTTCTCCCTCCTTTCATTTACCACAGAATCTGAAGAAGAGCTGGCACCCGCAGACCCTCCGCAATGTGGAGAAAGTGTGGAAAGCTGAGCAGAAGCATGAGGCTGAGCGGAAAAAGATTGAGGAGCTTCAGCGCGAGCTGCGGGAGGAGAGGGCCCGGGAGGAGATGCAGCGCTACGCGGAGGACGTTGGAGCTGTCAAGTACGTGAGGAGCTGGGGCGATTTGGCCTGGGGGTGTCTTGGTGTGTGGGGAATTGCAGAATTGCCTGCAGGTGCATCGTCCAGTTGTTGCATAATAGCTGGTTAAAAGCGTGAGTTTGGAATCAGACTGCCCTGGGTTCTGAGGCTGGCATGGCATGGACTAGCATAGCTGTGTAACTGGGAGCAAGTTTGGGAGCCTTGGTTACCTTAGTAGAACCGGGGGAATGAGAGTACCCAACTCCTAAGGTTTGTTGAGGATCAAATGAGATGACATATAAAGGGCTTAGTGTAGACCAAGTTCATGGTAGATAATTGCCAAACAACTGTGGCTGAGGATGACTGCCTATACCCTGCTTCTCAGTATGTGTTGAGGCCTCAGTCCTGCTTTTGTTTATTTATGGATTTCAGGCTCATTTTAGGGAGGCCGAGAGGTCCCATGGAAGGAGGTAGATGGTGTGTCTGTCAGTAAAAGCTATGTGAATGTGGACAGTCTCATTCGATTTTCCCTGACTTCAGTTTCCTCTTGTATAATATAGGATAGGAGTAACAGACAATAATTACTCTACCCATCTCATAAGAGGGGATGGGAATAAATGTGTTCTGAGAAAAATTAAAAGCATAAAATATGCAGTGCAGGTTTCCCGGAACCTGGGATTCTAATCTGGGGTTAAGTTTCAGTAAAATGTGCATATAACAACAACAAACTGTATTCTGTATGAAAAAAACAAATCTGAGAAAACCCACGTCTTCACTGGAACAATCACCAATAAATCGGTATTTTTTAATTAAAAAAATATATGCAGTGCATTCCTAAATCAGAATTGAATAAAAACTCCAGATAGACTAAAATTGACTTATCTGTACTATCCCTTGTTCATATCCTAGTGGGCAAGTCTCCAGGGTAACATGTGACATACTTCCCCTGTTGGATATACAGGGCTTTTCCTTAGTAATTTAATGACAGGAGGATTTGTGACATTCAGAGGCATGTGTGTATGTGTGAGAGACAGAGACTTAGTTTCAGTTCGTGGAAAGGGCATTATGGAATTTAGGCAGGATGACAATTACATTCTTTCTTTGTTTTTTTTTTGTTTGTTTATTTATTTAATTTTTTTTTATATAGCAGGTTCTTATTAGTTACCTATTTTATACATATTAGTGTATACATGTCAATCCTGATCTCCCAGTTCCCCCCCCCCCCATTTCCCCCCCTTGGTGTCCATACGTTTGTTCTCTAAATCTGTGTCTCTATTTCTGCCTTGCAAACTGGTTCAACTGTACCATTTTTCTAGATTCCATAAATATGTGTTAATATACGATATTTGTTTTTCTCTTTCTGATTTACTTTTACTTCACTCTGTATGACAGTCTCTAGATCCATCCACATCTCTACAAATGACCCATTTTCGTTCCTTTTTATGGCTGAGTAATATTCCATTGTATATATGTATACATTCTTTCAGGATTGGCAGAAGGCCATTCTGACTTAAGTATAAAATTTGAAATGTTTTAAAATAAATGGAGTCTTGGAGTTTTTAAAGTACAGCACAATATATTTAGGGCATTAATATATAAAATGAGGTAAAATAATGAAATTTTATAAGTTTTTTTTAACCATAGATACACATTAAATTATTTTACTTTATACAGTTTGTATAAATTATATTCTTTATAATTTAAACTAAATAAATTTCACACATTTGAATTAATTCCTGGGCAGCTTATATGACATTTTTATATGTGAGGTTTGAGATTTTGTGAACCCTTGATTTTAAATCAAATGTCAATTTTAGACAGAATACCCATTAGTTATAAGAGTTTACTTTCCCACTAACCAAAAGTAAAAAATTATTTTGAAATTTTTATTCAGCCAAGCATTATATATTCTGTGCCTGATATGTCAGAAATTTGGGCTTTGCAGAGTCTAATTAATGAGGTCAGAGTATAGATGAGCAGCTTCAGAGCTGGGAGTCAGTGTATATCCTGTTGCTGACCCTCATGCCCTCTTGTCTGTTGGGAATGGGAGAAAGGTGATTTTATATTCTTTTGATTTTTTTGCCCCCTCATATATTCTCCAGTGTTATGAAACTCAAAGGTTAGCATGTAGGTCCCTTTTTTTGGTCTTTACTTGCAGATGTATTTCGACGATCTGCTTGTCTGGCTGACTGGTTTGTGTAGTTCTTTGCATAGTGTCGTGCTTTTAATTTATCCAATACAACCCTTTGCTATTTAACAATTCACTTGTATGGTTCAGATAATCTTTTCTGTGTTTATTATACAGCTCTCTTAGAACAAAGAAAAAACCTCAATATGCACGTTATCCTTGATCTCCATCCAAATCCCTCTTTGCAATAGAATGTTGTTTAAGTATTTACTGATAATATTAGAAAATTGTGTTTTCTTTACCAGCATTTTTCAACGCTTGCACTTTAGGGTGTCCTTGGAAGATGAGATAAATGAAGATGGGAGTGATTCCCACCCAAGCAGACTCCTAAGATTAGCAGGGGGTGTCTGGGGCAAGGGCATCTGGATACTTTAAGAGGTCCCCGGGTGATCCTCATGGGCAGCCTCAATTGAGAACCTGTTCTATATCCTTAGTGATAGCAACAGCAAAAATCTATACATCATTTCGTTTTTATATGACTTTTACCCCAAATCTTCTCTCATTTAAAAACTCAGGGCTTCCCTGGTGGTGCAGTGGTTGAGAGTCTGCCTGCCGATGCAGGGGACACGGGTTCGCGCCCCGGTCCGGGGAGATCCCACATGCCGTGAAGCGGCTGGGCCCGTGAGCCATGGCTGCTGAGCCTGCGCGTCTGCAGCCTGTGCTCCACAATGGGAGAGGCCACAACAGTGAGAGGCCCGCGTACCGCCAAAAGCAAAAAACTCAGAGAGGGTCTCACTTTAAAAATGTTGAGAGATGGCAGTTACTAGCTCCATTTTAGACATGAGGATATGGAAGTGCACAGAAGTAATTTGCACGTTTACCCAGCTGGGTAGTGTCGGAGCCAGGTCAAGTCCAGTGGCACTGGATCTCAGCGATACAACATGTTCTCTTACTGGAGGGCCTGAGCAGGACTGATATTAGTTGAGTCCTTTTAAGACTAGCTGTAGCCCTGAAAATACTACTTTATAGAAGTATCTGTCTTCATTTTTCCTATCCTTTCTTCTGGATACGTCTTGCTCCTTTGCCTGCATATTCCTGGCCCTCCTACCTTTTCATACCGTCTCTTCTCTTTTATTCACTTGCTTAGCTTTTCCCTCATCCAGTAACTGCTCCTGCTTCCCAAGGCTCACTGTTCTTCTCCCTTCATTCCTTTGGTACCAGTGTCTGCTTCATGCTGACGACTGCCACGTTTATCCCACACAAACTCTTGTATCTCTGTATATTCAGGCAGTTCTTTTTTTTTTTTTTTTTTTATTCAGGCAGTTCTGCTTCAAGTATCCCACAGTTACCCATCACATACTTAGGTCTCAGCAGCACTGTTCAGTAATTAGTTGACCTCTGTGCCTCATCTGGTAGCCTGTGAGCAGCTTAGCTGCCTGAATCTTTGTCATCTTTCTGACCTTCTTCCTCTGCCTGGCACATAGGAAATGTGCTGAGTCATTGTTAACAAATGAATAAACAAATATTTATTTCCAGTTTCCCCATCTGCATTCGTGTCAGGCATGCATAGGCATGATCCCTTGAGCCATCTTTAACAAGTCCTTTTAGGATTCCCCCCTAGTCGATCACTGAGACCTGCTTTTCATTCAAAAAGTACTGCCAGCTCTAGACCCATTGCCCATGAATTGTCAAACACTGAACATATTAGGCAACTGTCTGGGATTCATTCCAGCCATCTAGGAGTTTAAAAAAACCTGGTGGGAGATACAAAACACATACATAGAGAATAAAAAGACTAGCTAGTGGGAACATCAGTGATTATCCCCAGGGTAAGAACACATGACAGAACTACAGGGTAGGTTATGGATAGGAGGGGCAAAGAAATTATGAAGTACATATTTTATCTCTTAATACATTTATGTTTCTTCTGCCAGTTGATGAGTTGCCCTTGAAGTAAAACAAAGACAAAACAAAACAGACTAGCTAGTGTTTATTTAGTACTTACTTTGTGCCATGCAGTCTTCTGAACACCTTAAAAATTCATTGACTTATTTAATCCCCAACAACCCTATGAGGCAGGTACTCTTTTATCCCCATTTTACAGGTGAGGACACCAGTGCTCAGATGAGTTGCTTGGCTTTAGAGCCGGGATTCAAATCCATGTTGCCCGACTCCAGAGCTTGTGCTCTTAACCATTATGTTATACTGCCTTTCAGGAAAATGAGCTTGCCAGAATATTCTAGTCACCACCGATCTTCTTGCTCAGACCTCTTTAAGCTCTTATGTAGTCTGCCTTTCACAGTCAGTTCCCTCCAACCCCCCAGGAGTTTTTTAATGTTTGAATAACAGAACACACAAAACCAGGCAGAGAAGTCTCCAAGGAAATGATGGTTGTGTTTCACTATTATTTGTCCCTTGGTTCTTCATCTTCTAAGCACTTATTACAGTTTCTTTTAATGCTGTTAGACATGTATTTTGATTATAAATACAGTCCAACTGTGAATAAATAACTGTATTGTCTTTTTACACCCATCCCCCATATTCCTTTAAATAGAAAAAAGTGCTCAATATCTCTTAATAGCCTATTTGGCCATGGTTGTCTCACCTGTGATTTAAAAATACATTGTATCTTGATCTTCCAAAATCCTTCTTGAATTACAGCTTATTCTGTTAAAGAAATTCTGGGAAAGAAGTCATTGATATTGTTGATAGTCTCCAAAAGGTGAGGGTGGTAACTGAGTTGAAGGCACCTGGGAGGGATCTTCAGCAAACCAAGGACCACTGGGAAACTACACAGAGGCAGATCTTGTCACTAAGATACCAGCTCCTCCAATTAACCCTAGGAGAATGCCACCAGTCACAGCTGACCCAGCAACTGTGGCCACTGGTCCCTTTTGGCTGCCAGGGTGACTCCTGTGAAGGCTGCACTTGTGACGGAATTCCAGAGGTCTTTCTAACATGCACCATCCAGCAGAGAATCATAGAAAACAGACCTCCCCAAACTGCAAAGCCACCTCCCAACTGTGGAGGCCTGTTTTTTTTTTTTTTTTGGAGGTACACAGACCTCTCACTGTTGTGGCTTCTCCCGTTGCAGAGCACAGGCTCCAGACGTGCAAGCTCAGTGGCCATGGCTCACAGGCCTAGCCACTCTGCGGCATGTGGGATCTTCCTGGACTGGGGCACGAACCTGTGTCCCCTGCATCAGTAGGCGGACTCTCAACCACTGCGCCACCAGGGAAGCCCGGAGGCCTGGTTTTAATAGCTGTCAAACTCCCATGTAGTCTCTGGTTTACTCCCACTGGAGAATGGTGAAAACCTTTAATTGCATAAAAGACACTGCTACCTGTGGTACCCATCATAAAGGCCCCACCACAGTCTTCCACATAGTTCTCCGGGGCACGGCTCTCACTCTTGCTCCTCCATCTTGACCCCAGTGGTGTGAGTGAGGTTGGGTAAGCTGGGTGGAGCCTGACCCCAGTGGCCCACAATCAATTCTTTTTTTTTTAAAATAAATTTATTTATTTATAGCTGCATTGAGTCTTTGTTGCTGCACTCAGGCTTTCTCCAGTTGCGTTGAGCAGGGGTTACTCTTCGTTGTGGTGCACGGGCCTCTCATTGTGGAGGCTTCTCCCGTTGGGAAGCACAGGCTCCAGGCATGCGGGCTTCAGCAGTTGTGGCACACGGGCTCAGTTGCTCCGCAGCATGTGGGATCTTCCTGGACCAGGGCTCGAACCCATGTCCCCTGCATTGGCAGGCGGATTCTTAACCACTGCACCACCAGGGAAGCCCCACAATCAATTCTTAATCATAGACTATAGTGTTTCTCAAGCCAATCCTTATAATAGGAAAAGAAATCTGAAGGGTTAGACCCTCTATTATTGGTTTAAATTATTTTTATTAAAAATATATGCAAAGATATAACTAGGAAGGTATTATTTATGCTCATAGTTGTTATATAATCTTAAACAAAAATAAATATACAAAATTTAAAAGTCATAGTCAAAAAACATTGCACCTAATGTTATAGATAATATTGTTTCGATGAACCTACTTTGCTACTTGTAGTGTGACTGTGATATTGGCTGCTCCAACACATACTCTTATGAATGAATTCAGCACACCTTTACTGTCTGTTGTGTGAGGGCTAAATTTTCTCACCACTTTTTTTCTCTTAGAACCACAGGAAAATATTTGGCATGATACTGTGACGTAATTTGGCTTCCCTCTTTTGGCTTGAAAGCATAACTTGTTATTGCTGGTCTTTTCTCATTATCCCCTCGAATGTAGTATATTACCACTGGTGCCAAGGTGACAATAAGCACCAAAACACACAGTAAACACAACTGCATATGTGGTCACTGAAATTGTTTTGGTGATGAGCTGATCCAGAACATGCATGTTAGCTCTTTCAGATTATCCTCGAAATGAAAGCACAACATAAAGACTTTGTAAAGGAGACTTGAGAAACCCTGAGCAAAAGATCCATGCCCCAGGCTGAGGAACTTTTTTTTCCTCATAAATTGCTTTAGGTGTGTGGAAACGATCTCTCTCCTAAAATTTAAACTCCATGACAGCAAGTACCGTTTCTTCCCAAGTGCCCCGTGGAGTGTGGTGTTTAGCCCTTGCTAAGGAGCCTGTAGAATGAGTCCAGTTCTGACCAGCTGCGCCTTTTTTTTTTTTTTTAAGTTTGGCCACGCCTTGCGGCCTGCAGGATCCTTGTTCCCTGACCAGCGATGATCAAACCTGCACCCTTGGCAGTGAGAGCGTGGAGTCCTAACCACTGGGCCACCAGGGGATTCCCCCAGCTGTGCTTATCTATCCCTCATGTTCAGGTTTTGTGTGTAGGTTTGAGAAGTCTACATTTTCTTTGACTGTTTTTTTTTTTCTTGAACTAGGAAGAAGGAAGAAAAATTGGACTGGATGTACCAGGGTCCTGGTGGGATGGTGAACCGTGATGAGTACTTGCTGGGGCGTCCCATTGACAAATACGTTTTTGAGAAGATGGAGGAGAAGGAGGCAGGCTGTTCTTCTGAGACAGGACTCCTCCCAGGCTCTATCTTTGCCCCATCAGGTGCCAATTCCCTTCTTGACATGGCCAGCAAAATCCGGGAGGATCCGCTCTTCATCATCAGGTACTCATGAGCGGCTGAGAAGGAGGTTTTATTACAGAGATGCTTAGCAGAGATGTTATCTCACCTCTTGCTTTGCAGTTGGTTTACTGTTGGCTTTTGTCTGCCACGTAAAAGGGTTTGTCTCCATTTGGGCTTCTGATGTTGAAAAGGAGGCTCTATTAAGGGTGCCTGAACTAGGCTGTTTGGGAAGAGATTGGTAAGTGTACCAGGCCAGACCAAATTTATTCATTTACCTTTGGCCCTTAAACAAAAATAAGAGGTAGAAGCAAGGTGAGAAAGACTGGCAGCTTCTTAGAAATTGGGGGATATGTGTAGAGTTGGCTGGGGGGTTGAATAGGCCTTTTCCCCTCCCCTCTACCCCTCCCTTTTGTTTGTTTTTTGCGGCAGAACCCTTTGAAAAGAAACTTTAGAATTTTATTTAACCCTAATATGTAACAGATCAAAGTAGAGCTGCATTTTGGGTGTTAAATGAAATCATGTGGTGCGTTTTTTTGTTTTTGTTTTTAATTTTCATTATTTTATTTCAAGTGTGTAAGGTTGAACATTAAAAAATGTTTCTTATTTACATTTCTTTTGAAAATTCTTTTAAAGTTATCTATTACAGATATATATTTATATGTAAATATTTTCTCCCATTTTGTTAGCATCTTAATTAATTAATTGTGGTAAAATATACATAACATAAAATTTACCATCTTAACTTTTTTTTTCTTTTTCTTTTAAAGTTCCTTAAACTCACCAGCATACAAATGTGAGCAGGCACTCTTCCACACTCACATTGTATCATGAGTACATGTTTGTTTTTTTTTAATAAATTTATTTATTTTTGGCTGCATTGGGTCTTCACTGCTGCACATGGGCTTTCTCTAGTTGTGGCGAGCAGGGGCTACTCTTCATCGTGGTGTGCGTGCTTCTCATTGCGGTGGCTTCTTTTGTTTCGAAGCACAGGCCCTAGAGCGCATGGGCTTCAGTAGTTGTGCCGCGTGGGCTCAGTAGTTGTGGCTCGCAGGGTCTAGAGCACAGGCTCAGTAGTTGTGGTGCACAGGCTTAGTTGCTCCGTGGCACGTGGCATCTTCCTGGACCAGGGCTCGAACCCATGTCACCTGCACTGGCAGGCAGATTCTTAACCACTGCGCCACCACGGAAGTCCCATTTTAACTATTTTTAAGTATACATTTCAGTGACAGTAAGTATATTCACAGCGTTGTGCAACCATCACCACTACCTATCCTTCTCCAGAACTTTTTCATCTTCGCAACTGAAACCTTATACTCATTAAACAGTAAGTCCCCATTCTCTCCTCTTCCCAGCTCCTGGCAGCCACTTCTACTTTCTGTCCCTATGAATGTAACTGCTGTAGTTACCCATATAAGTGGAATCATATGGTATTTGTCCTTCTGTGACTGACCTATTTCACTCAGCATAATGTCATCAAGGTTCATTTGTGTTACAGCATGTGTCAGAATTTCCTTCTTTTTAAAAATTGTGGTAAAATACACATGACATAAAATTTACCATTTTAACCATTTTAAGTATATATATAGTTCAGTAGTAAGGGTATCCAAATTGTTGTGCAACCTATCTCCAGAAGTTTTTCATCTTGTATAACTGAAAATCTGTATCCATTAAGCAACAACTCTTCATTTCCTTTTCCCCCCAGCCCCTGGGAACAACTATCGTACTTTTCATTTCTATGAGTTGGACTATTCTGAACCTCATAAAAGTTGAAATCATTCAATATTTGTTTTTTTGTGACTGGCTTATTTTACTTAGCATAATGTCCTCAAGGTTCATCCATGTTGTAGCATGTATCAAAATTTCCTTCCTTTTTAAGGCTGAATAATATTCCATTGCATGTGTATACCACATTTTTTAATCCATTCATCTGTCGTGCACATTTGGGTTATTTCCACCTTTTGGTTATTGTGAATAATGCTACTATGAACATTGGTGTACAAATATTGTGCATATTATTTTATAAACTCCTTTTTATCACCTAGTCATATATATGGGACATTTTTCTATGTTGCTGACTATGCTTCTGTCACATCATTTTTAATACCTATATTGTATGGATATACCATAGTTTATTTATTTATTTTAAAACATTTTTTTGACACCTTCCCTTTCTTTTTTTTGTTTTGTTTTTTTAAAATTTTTATTTATTTATTTTTGGTTGCATCAGGTCTTAGTTGCGACACGCAGTATCTTTCACTGTGGTGCGCGGGCTCTCTAGCTGTGGTGTGTGGGCTTAGTTGCCCCAGCATGTGGGATCTTAGATCCCTGACCAGTGATTGAACCTGCATCCCCTGCATTGAAAGGCGGATTCTTAACGACTGGCCCACCAGGGAAGTCTCTACCATAATTTATTAATATTCTCCTGGTGGATCCCTAACTTGTTTCCAAGTTTTCATTGTTATAACATGAACACCTTTTTAGTGACCTTCCTTGATTATATCCTTTCAGTAACAAATTCTTGAGGAAGCATTTGTAAGATTAAAGAGTTTGTGAGTATGTACAGGCTGTGATAAATGTTGCCGAATTGTCCTCCGGGAAGGTTGACCAGTTTACCCTCCTATGAACCCTATGTGAGAGTAAGACTTCTTGAAAAAGGTATCCATTCTGTTTATTTCCCAGGGGTTATCATGCTAAACAGTGGAGGTAGTATTGAAATGTTGCATATGTTTGATACACAAGATGACATACATTTTACTTGACCAGTTGGGAAGCCCTGAGCATGAAGCTTAATAAGCAACAGACCAAACTCACTTTCTTGCACAACAGGGAACCGGTGTGAACTTTCCCCACAATATTCAATCCCTTATGCAGATTTGGGAAAGATTTCTGGCTTCCACACAATCATATAGATTGCACCATGGGGCCTGTCTGCCTGCATTGAGAAAAAAGATTGCTGTATAGAATTATGGAGAGTAGAATGAATGGTTTAATCCCCTTTTCTGAAAGAAAGAATCATGATTTTTATAACTTCTCTTTAGGAAGAAAGAAGAAGAGAAAAAAAGAGAGGTATTGAATAATCCTGTGAAAATGAAGAAAATCAAAGAATTGGTAAGTAGTACATCAAATAAGCATCAAGAACTACTTAACATGAAAACTCCTCTCCATTTACTCTTAAGAGAGGGAAAGCAGCATGGCTTTAAACATTTTTGTCTTTTAGAGACCTTCTCCTGGTGATTTTGTGCAATCTTAACATATAAAGCTTAATTATGCTTGATTTTCTCTTTTATGTCTTTTGGTTGGAAAAACAGCATGTTATATCATTCTTCCAGAAAAAGAGGGGTATTGGGATATGCCTGTGGAAAGCATGATCATGCAGTGTGTTCAGGAGATCAGGTGGTATCAAGCCTTTAGGGCCCATTAATCACTCATGTAACATATTATGTGATTGTTTCTTGGATTAGTTGGTAAGGAAAATTTAAAGATTGATCTTGTGGTCCCTGATTATTGTCAGCAGAGTTGCAGTCTTTTGACAAATGGGAATTCCTAAGCAGTGGTTCTGGGGACTGTTTCAAAACACAGATTCCCAGCCCCACCCACCAGAGAGTCCGTTCAGTAGTCTAGGGGCGTTTGTGCACAACCAGGGTCGAGACCCTCCACTCTTGTCGACAGGGGACGTCTGATCATGTCCTGGACCCCTGTAGACCCTGAGGCCTGGAGGCAGGTAGTTTACACATGACCCTGTCCCCTCAGAGGGACTGACAGGGGTCCCAGTAATCTTGCGCGGTTATGTTCTGGGCATTTTCTAGTTGCAAATGAGTCTGGAAAAAAAGGAGAAGAAGAAAAAGAAGGAGAAGAAAAAGAAGCACAAGAAACATAAGCACAGAAGCTCAGGCAGCGATCGTTGCAGCAGCGAGGATGAGCACGGCCGGGAGAGGTGAGTGTGTGGAACGGCGTCCTGCACCATTGATTCACTCACTCATTCATTCCACAGATATGAACTGAATACCTGCTCCGGGCCAGGAGCCACCAGGTTCTGGGGGTTCAGTGGAGAACACTTGCACACTGGCCCTCTGCCCCCAGAGCTGGCCAGCTAGCACTTGAGTTCCTGGAGGAGTTGGTGAAACCCCCAGGGGAGCTGGCTGTAGCTGTGTCAGTCTTAGGTCAGATGCCCTGGATATGACTTTCATCTCAGCTCTTGATTCCTGCAAGACTTACGTGGGTTTTATGGAGGCTTTTTTTTTTTTTTCCAAATGCATTAATGGGCCCATCTGGACCTGTTCTGTGTGTCTCCTTTGCGGGAGCCGCCAGCGCTGTCTCTGCTGACTCACTCGTAGTCCCTAGAATAGCAGCACGAGGTGAGAGGAGAATGTGCTTGGGCGCTGGGGCTGAAAAGCAAGGCTCACGGTTTTTCTCAGTAAAAACATGACTGTGCTGATGCATCTTCCAGCAAAGATAGAGAAACACACTCCCATGTGAGAGCTGGGAGGTGGGAGAGGTCATGTTTGAAACAGGAAGCACGTCTCAGCACAAGAGCTGTAAACTGGACCTTTAGGCATTTTCTTTTTCAATGAATATGTGTTTTAATCTCTTAGATCTCAAAAGAAGATGGCAAATTCTTCCCCTGTTTTGTCCAAAGTCCCTGGATATGGCTTACAGGTAAGGATATGGGCTTCTCAGAGGGAGTGACTGTGGGACTGGAACGTGCCAACCTGGGTACCTTTTTGGACACAGAGCATATTTAGCAACCAATCAGACGTGCAGAAAGAAGGGAGTTTGGGCAGCACAGACTGGAGAACAGGCCCATTCCTTATCCCTGAGTCTCTGACTATGGCTGAGGGCCCTCTGAGCAGAGAGGCTAAGCTACCAGTGGGCATTTAGGCATTCCGTCCATCCCTCTGCATATAACTTACATGAAATGCGTACATGTTAAGGGTTGATGACTTTTTGATAAATGTACATCCCTCTGGATTCCTTTTTTCCCCTGAGTATGTTTAACCTGAGGTCCTGTCCTCCATATTCTGCCTCCTGCTCCTCCTTAGGCTGTAACAAAGAGCCAAGCCAATTTAGGTGGTTGGGTGATACATCCTTTTAGGGCATTCTGAGGATAACTTTCCTAAGTTTATACAGCTCTCAGTGATAACTGTGTGATGGGGTTGGTATACCCAGTTGGCTCCTTACAGAACCTCAGTGCTTATTCATTTTCTTGTTTCACTGCATCTTCTCCTGAGCTGCTAGATTTTCCTATGAATAGCTTTTCTTCCTTTCCTTGATGATATAGGTCAGGAACTCTGACCATAGCCAGGGACTGCAGGGTCCTCTGACAGCTGAGCAAAAGCGAGTGCGTGGGTTGAAGAATTACTCCAGGTCCAGAAGCTCCTCTCCCTCACCTCCCAGACATGCCAGCAAGAAGAGCACCAGAGAGGCAGGGTCTCGGGACAGGAGGTCTCGATCGCCAGGCAGAAGGTCTCGGTCCCCAAGGCCAAGCAAACCGTGAGTATGGGAATTCAGCGGGAAATAACCTGTGAATGTGGGGGCCTGGTTACAGCTGGTATTTGCTTTTAGCGATGTCTGTTCATCAAGTCTTCCAAATGTCTTTGCTTTGTTATTATCTTTACTTTTTTAAAAAAATGTAAAGCTCAGACCCCTAGAACTACATATTTATATATGTGGAATCTCTAGAGTGAGATTAATATCAAATCTTATGTATCCTTACGCCTTTGTTTTTCTTCCACTTCTTCCCTCTATTTTCTTCAATTTGGATTATGGTTCCAAAACTGTTAGCTTTTCTTCCATCATTTGAAGGACATGATAAAAGCCACTGTATTGAAAAAGCTCTTCTCCTCTCTGCCCTCTGTGTCTGTTACAGGCACAACTCTAAGGTAAATAGGAGAGACAGAGGCCGAAGTAAGAGCCTATCACCTAAAAAAGACATCTACCAAAGGCGGCATGCTCATGGGTACACCAGGTGAGTCAAGAGCCCAGTAGGTTAACTTCAGACTTTCAGGCCTGAGTCTTGGAATGGCTCAGACCAGGGCAAATGGATAATCTATATCACCTTTTTTGCCCACCCCTCTTTTATTCATCTTGGTCAACTTTTAACCATCTGCCCTGCCCCCCACCCCATGCGAGTCACATTGAAAGGACAAAGTAAATAGTTTTGAACTATTGAACTAATGACCAGTTCACTAAGTGATTGTCTCTCAACACCTGTAAACATGTTATTCTCACAGAGATTTCTACAGGAAGCTTTTCTTAAGAGTGTGCGCCTTTCTTGAGGCATCAGCTGAAAGGGAAGCAGGAAGGTGGTCTCCTTGAGGGCAGACACCCTAAGATAAACTCTGTGTTTGAGTTGGGTATGGTGTGGGTCAGACAGAATATGGGTGTGCAGTCATGGGACCTGAGGGGAATTGGCTGTGCCCATGAAAGGCTGTCCCTAGGGGTTTTGATTGCTCTTAGAAGTTTAGATGAGGGAATTCCCTCACAGTCCAGTGGTTAGGACTCGGCGCTTTCACTGCCGTGGGCTCCAGTTCAATCCCTGGTCAAGGAACGAAGATCCCATTAAAAAAGAAAAAGTTTAGTTGACTTGGGCAACTTTTGTGTACTTCCTTTAACTGCCTCCCCCAGTTGGCTGCACATTAGAATCACCTGGAAAGCTTAAAGAAAAACCCAAATCCCAATCAATCCCTTGTTGCACCCCAGCCCTATTACATCATAATCTCTGGGGATGGGCCCAGACATCAGTATTTTTAAAGCATCCCAGTAGTTCCAGTGCACAACCAGCACTGAGAACCACTGAGAGTTTCTAACAACCTCTTTTATTCAGTATGCTGTTAGAAGAAAGGCAAGCCCTAAAGTCCCTTTTAACTTTTAATTGCCTGATTCCCTAAGTTTAAGGTTTTTTCACTGGCAACTTTCCAAAATACCCATGTACATATTTCCCTGCCTTCCCAGAGAGGGAGGGTATATTTTGCATAATTTTTTATTGGTGACACTGGGTCAGTTCTTCTGCTGTGCTGTAATTCATGCTGTTCTTAGGGATGAATGCTCATGGGTGTATTTTTTTTGATGTATTGTAAGGCTCTTGGTCAGCGCAAGGTCTGCTTTTTCAGATCCCGCTTTGTTTTTCTGTCTCTTTTGCCATCTGCCATCACTTAAATTTGTCTCACTTTGTCAGCCTTTCTTATCGCCCTTAGAATCTTTGTTGAATTTTGTGATTTAAAATGAGTTAGAATAAACAACAAGGTCCTACTGTATAGGACCAATACTTCAATAAAGTTTTTTTTTTTAATAAAGTTATTTAGGGCTTCCCTGGTGGCGCAGTGGTTGGGAGTCCGCCTGCCGATGCAGGGGATGCGGGTTCGTGCCCCGGTCTGGGAAGATCCCACATGCCGTGGAGCGGCTGGGCCCGTGAGCCATGGCCGTTGAGCCTGCTCGTCCGGAGCCTGTGCTCCACAATGGGAGAGGCCACAACAGTGAGAGGCCCACATACCGCAAAAAAAAAAAAAATAAAGTTATTTATTATTTTTGGTTACATTGGGTCTTTGATGCTGCGTGCGGGCTTTCTCTAGTTGCAGCTAGTAGGGGCTACTCTTCGTTGTGGTGTGCGGACTTCTCATTGCGGTGGCTTCTCTAGTTGTAGAGCACGGGCTTTAGGCATGTGGTCTTCAGTAGTTGTGGCACTTGGGCTCAGTTGTGGCTCACGGGCTCCAGAGCTCAGGCTCAGTAATTGTGGCACATGGGCTTAGTTGCTCCGCGGCATGTGGGATCTTCCCGGACCAAGGCTTGAACCTGTGTCCCCTACATTGGCAGGCAGATTCCTAACCACCATGCCACCAGGGAAGTCCCAGTAAAATTTTTAAAAATAAATAAATAAAGTGAGTTAGAGCCCTCAAGACTTTTGTCTTCCAGAAATGGAAACACAGAAACTTGAAAGCATGGATTCTATGATATATCTCTTTGTTTTGGTTTGGTGTTCCAGGTAGTTGAACACCAAAGATGTAACCAAGATGGTGCTGAATTAAGACAAAAGCAAAGTTATGGCTGTAAAACCTTTCTTAGCACTAGTTACACTGTTTCTCAGATTGAGAGTCACTGGATATTTCCTCAAGGGCCTGAGAGTTCTGTAAGGATTTAAAATTTTTTGAGTTCTCTTTTGTATGTATGTTTTGTTTTAATTAGTGATCTAAAATAACTTTCTTGTCAGCTGAAGGATGAAGCTTTTCTTTAGCAGTGAGGTTCTCAATTTAAAGCGATTTTTACAGACTAAGACTTTTTTTTTCTCTTAAGTTTTTTTTGGGGGACTGAGGGATTCCACATTATTTTTCTATTGCTTTCAGTGCTTCCTAAATTTCTTACAGTCAACACAGCACTTTAAAAAAAAATTATTCAAGTATAGTTGATTTGCAATGTTGTATTAATTTCTGCTGTACAGCAAAGTGATTCAGTTACACACACACATACACACACATATGCACATTCTTCTTCATATTCTTTTCCATTATGGTTTCTCACAGGATATTGAATACACTTCTCTGTGCTATACAGTAGGACCTTGTTGTTTATGCATTCTATATGTGATAGATATCATGATATCACAACACTTTTTTTTTTAAATTTATTTAATTAATTTATTTTTGGCTGCGTTGAGTCTTCCATGCTGTGCGTGGGCTTTCTCCAGTTGCAGCGAGAGGGGGCCACTACTCTTCATTGTGGTGTGCAGGCTTCTCATTGTGTTAACCTCTCGTTGCAGAGCACGGGCTCTAGGTGTGCGGGCTTCAGTAGTTGTGGCATGCAGGCTCCGTAGTTGTGGCTCACAGGCTCACTAGTTATGGTACACGAGCTTAGCTGCTCCGTGGCATGTGGAATCTTCCTGGACCAGGGCTCAAACCCACATCCCCTGCATTGGCAGGCGGATTCTCAACCACTGCGCCACCAGGGAAGCCCCACAACACTTTTATAATTTAAAAAAATGTGTATGCTCAAAACAAACTAACATAAACCACTACTATAAGGTCACACCCCAGAAGTAGCTAAAATTCCTTCTGTTGGGCTTGTAAATTGCCCAGAACAAAGGTGGCAATAGGAAATGGAGTTACTATTCTTGCATTAATTACTGTTATTAAGGCATAATTTCTTTAATTGTTTTGATCAAATAATAGACACCTTTTTTTTTTGTTTGTTTTTTGCGGTACGTGGGCCTCTCCCGTTGTGGAGCACAGGCTCCGGACACGCAGGCCCAGCGGCCATGGCTCAGAGGCCCAGCCACTCCGCGGCATGTGGGATCTTCCCGGACCGGGGCACGAACCTGTGTTCCCTGCATCGGCAGGCGGACCCTCAACCACTGCGCCACCAGGGAAGCCCCAATAGACACCTTTTTTTAAAGTGTAGTTTATTTATAATATTATATCAATTTTAGGTGTACAACATAGTGATTCAATATTTTTATAGATTATACTCCATTTAAAGTTATAATAAAATATTGGCTATATTCCCTGTGCTGTATAATATATCCTTGTATCATATTTATTTTATACATAGTAGTTTGTACCTCTTAGTCCCCTACTCTTATCTTGTTCCTCCTCCATCCCCCTCCCCACTGGTTACCACTAGTTTGTTCTTTACATCTGTGTGTCTGTTTTCTATTTTGTTATAGTCATTCATTTCATTTTTTAGATTCCACATATAAGTAATAACATACAGTCTTTCTCTGAGTTATTTTACTAAGCATAATATCCTCCAAGTCCATCCATGTTGTTGCAAATGGCAAAATTTTCGTTCTTCTTTATGGCTGAGTAATATTCCATTATATACCACATCTTCTTTATCCAGTCTTCTGTTGATGGACACTTAGGTTGCTTCATATCTTGGCTATTATAAATAATGCTGCTATGAACATTGGGGTGCATGTATCTTTTCAAATTAGTGTTTTTATTTTCTCTGGATATATACTCAAGAGTGGAATTGCTGGGAATTCCCTGGCAGTCCAGTGGTTAGGACTCTGTGCTTCCACTGCAGGGGGCATGGGTTCGATCCCTGGTCAGGGAACAAAGATCTTGCATGGCGTGGCAAAAAAAAGGAGTGGAATTGCTGGATCATATGGTAGTTCTATTTTTAGTTTTTTAAAAAACCTCCATACTGCTTTCCATAGTGGCTGCACTAATTTACATTCCCACCAGCAAGGTAAGTAGGGTTCCCTTTTCTCCACATCCTCACTGACCTTTGTTATTTGTGGTCTTTTTGACACCAGCCATTCTTCAGGTGTGAGGTGAACCTCATTGTGGTTTTGGTTTCATTTCCCTGATGATTAGCAATGTTGAGCATCTTTTCATGTACATGTTGACTATAAGAAGACTAGCCAACATGCACAAGAAGATATAGAAGACTATATCTTCTTTGGAAAAATGTCTATTCAGGTCTCCTGCTCATTTTTTAATTGGGTTGTTTGTTCTGATATTGAGTTGTTTGAGCTGCTTATGTAATTTGGATATTAACTCTCTGTCAGTCATATCATTTGCAAATATATTTTTCCCATTCAGTAGGTTTTTTTTTTTTAAATCAGTTGTATTTCTTTTTTTTTAAGTTAATTAATTAATTTATTTTTGGCTGCGTTGGGTCTTCATAGCTGCTCACAAGCTTTCTCTAGTTGCAGCGAGCGGGGGCTACTCTCCATTGCGGTGTGCGGGCTTCTCACTGCAGTGGCTTCTCTTGCTGCGGAGCATGGGCTCTAGGCATGTGGGCTCAGTACTTGTGGCATGTGGGCTCAGTAGTTGTGGCTTATGGGCTCTAGAGCGGAGGCTCAGTAGTTGTGGCACACGGGCTTAGATGCTGTGCGGCATGTGGGATCTTCCTGGACCAGGGTTCGAACCCATGTCCCCTGCATTGGCAGGTGGATTATTAACCATTGCGCTACCAGGGAAGTCTCGGTTTTTTGTTTTGTTGATAGTTTCCTTTGCTGTGCAAAAGCTT